AGTTTGGGAATGCAAGAATCCCCACTGATGAGATTTAATGCCAGTTTGGGAATGCAAGAATCCCCACTGATGAGATTTAATGCCAGTTTGGGAATACAGAGACCCCACTGATGGGATTTGATGCCAATTTGGGAACATGGAATCCCCACTGATGGGATTTGATGCCAGTCTGGGAATGCAGAGACCCCACTGATGAGATTTTCAGACTCCCTCAGTGCTTGGGGCCAGGATCTGACCCAGGACTGCGGAGGGAGACAGCAAAAGCCAGGCAGGGGCTGCTCCATGGCTGCCTGACCGAGACATGGATGGAGCTAACGRTGTTCAATAACATCTGAGCATCAACTTGGGACTCTCTGAGAGGTTTTACAGCAAATGAAAATGCCTCTGCCCATAWTTAACATCTCATTTTCACCTGACGGTGGTTTTATGGCTTGTCTCTTCTTTTCCGTGCTAAGGATGAGCCCCATTAATTCCTGCCCCTGAGTTTCCAGACTTCCCTGGCTGGAGTTTCCTGACTTCCAGGAAAGGAAAGACTTTTCCAGGGGGTCTTTGGCATTTGATCAACCCAAGGGAGGGTGGGTGCTCTCCCCTGATGCTCTCCTGCCTCTGTTTTGCTACAGTTGTGGAGACCGAATGTGAGAGGAGCTCAGCCACCACCTACTTCTGGTACCGGGAGACCCTGGACATCTCCAACTCCATCTCGGAGAGYGGGGGGCTCAACTGGAAGATGACAGTGTGTCTGCTGGTGGCCTGGAGCCTCGTGGGCTTGGCCATGATCAAGGGCATCCAGTCCTCGGGGAAGGTGGGTGTTGGTGGCCAGCTGAACAGGGCTGGGCTCTGTCCTGGCAGCAGGAACCTGCCTGGATCATGCTCCCCTGCCCTGCTGTAGGGTGCCAGGGGATTGCTGTGTCCCCTGGGATTCTCACACCCACGCCACGGCTGGGGTCACCTCTGCAGGGATCCAGAAAGGGATCAATAGAGGGTGTAGGGAAGAGGTTTGGTTTGACTGACACACCAGGGCAGAGAACCTGCCTGAGCTCCAGCACTTCCCAGAATCACAGAAACAACTGGGTTGCAAAAGAGGTCAGTGAGTGCAGCCTGTGACCAATCCCCACCTTGTCACCCAGACCATGGCACCGAGTGCCACACCTACCCTTTCCTTAAACACGGGACTCAGGGATGGCGACTCCACCACCTCCTGGGCAGCCCGTTCCAAGCCTAAATCACCATTTCTGTGAGGAAATTTTTCCTAATGTCCAGCCTAAACTTCCCCTGGTGCAGCTTAAGGCTGTGTCCTCTCATCCTATCACTGGGAGCAGAGCCTGACCCCCCTGGCTGTCCCCTCCTGTCGGAGATTTATGGAGAGTGATGAGGTTTCTCTGAGCATCCTTTCCTCCAGGCTGAGCCTCTCCAGCTCCCTCACCTGCCCCTCACAGGGCTTGTGTTCCAGAACCTTCCCCAGCCTTGCTGCCCATCTCTGGACACACTCCAGCATCTCAACACCTTTCCTAAATTGGGGGGCACAAGCTGGACACGGCAGTCAAGGTCCAGCTCACCAGCAGTCCTGCTGACCACACTGACCCTGCTGACCACACTGACCCTGCTGACCACACCTGATCCAGATGTTCCACGCCATTGCTGCTGCAGGCCAGGTGCCATGGGCCTCCTTGGCCATCTGGGCACACTGCTGGCTCACGTTCAGCCTGCTGCTAGTCAGTACCCCCTGCCCTTTCCTGCCTGGCCTCTCTCCAGCCACTCRTAGCTCCGAGGGGTCCCACAGCTCATCCCCGTGGAGCCAACCCCATCCTGGGAGGGAATCGCTCCCTTCTCCCCACTGTGAGCTGTCCGTGGGTTCATGGGGGGTGTCTGAGCCCAGGCAAGGGCAGGAATTGAGGCTGTGCCCTGTTCATCCCTCCTGCTGCAGGTGATGTACTTCAGCTCCCTCTTCCCGTACCTGGTGCTCGTTTGCTTCCTGGTGCGGGGCCTCCTGCTGCGCGGGGCCGTGGATGGGATCATGCACATGTTCACGCCCAAGGTGAGARTTCCAAGCCCAGCAGGCTCCAAGCAGATTCCCCACCTGCCTGGTCACGCCCTATTTTCCTATTTTCCCTTATTCTCTCATGATTCTCCTTGTTTTCCTTCCCACCCCAAAAATCAGAGTTCCAGCCCCAAACTCAGYGATCCTGATGGATCATCAGGATGTGGGGTGGCTCCCAAAATTCAGGGTGTGGCCAGGACAGCCAAGAGCCTCCCAAATTCACCATYCTCTGCTGCCCAGATGCCAGGGTCGGGGGCACAGAGGTGCCCAAGGGAATATATAAACACCAAGATTTAATGGCGAGATGCTGGCAGGCAGCAAAACCTCTGCTGGTGGTATGCGCCTATTAATTAACCAGCTAATTAATTAATTAAGCAGAGATGTAGATGAATCCGCTCAGCCTGTTAGAAGACATTAATTACGGTTTCTTGATGAATGATGCTGGGAGGCCTCCAGGCTGCAGCTCTGGCTCCCAGGAGAGGGGGAACATGGTTGGGGAGGGATCAGGAGTTAAAAGAACCCCCTGTCATGGTTTGAACTAATTTAATGGGGGCAAACACTCCCAAGTTCCAGCAAACCCCCCTCCTTTCCCYACCCAAGTCCTAGAGACCAACTTTTCCACAGARAGGAAAGYGAAAAGAAAAAGRAAARAATTATTTAACAAAACAACAACAAAATAATATGCCCACAAAGAAGAGAGGGAAAAAAAAARRAAAWTWWWAAAMMAAAAMMAAAAAAAAACACCTGTGGGACCAGCTGTTGGATCTTAAAGTCTTTCTMTTCCCTCCTGGGAGTGGCTTCCCTCTGGGGGCCAGAGTTGCTCCGGTGGTTCAYTGGRGGATWTTTCTCACCTGTYGTGCCAGGGGAATCTTCTAATTCTCAKATGATGAAAAAAATCRAGGAAAAAACAAGTCCAAARAAGAGGGRAAAAAGGAGCTGTCCCWGAGAGCAGGCAGCTTCTTCCCCAGGACTGAGCCCAAGACTCCTCCAGRAATRTGTGACTTGTACCTCTCCCTCCCACAGTCCCTGAAGGGAGGAACATCACAAAACAAACCAGAGCAGTCTCAACTAATGTATGGTTACAGAAGGGTTGTTTACCTTTCCTCTAACATAACAGATGATAGGAATACAAATAATCAGCTACCCTAGGATACCCCCCAGCTGGGAGGTTTGATTTCAACGCTCTCTGGAAGCAGGGGATGGCCAGGGGAGGATGGAGATCCATCGGTGTCGTGACAGGGGCTGGGAAGCTGCAGAGAGAGAGAGGGAACCCCCAGTTTGGGCTCTGGGGCAGACAGAGCAGACACAGACCAGGTCAAACTTTGTCCTGACCTCTCCACGCTTGAGTTTCCCCCTCTGAGGGGAGGAGAAGAAGGATCTGTGAGTGCTGGGTGAAGGCAGTCCTGATCATGGCAGATCATGGAATCATGGGATGGTTTGGGTTGGAWRATCTGGGTTGGCCTTGGAGATCATCTCCATCCACAGCCCCACCAGAGCAGCCCATGGCTGAAGGTCCATCCCAGCCCAGAGGCACAGCAGCCTTTTGCTGTGGCTCTGGGATGAGTTATGGGGCCACCAGGCCACCTAACTTCTCCTCTGTCTTCCTCCCAAGCTGGACAAGATGCTGGACCCCCAGGTGTGGCGCGAGGCAGCCACGCAGGTTTTCTTCGCCTTGGGCCTGGGTTTTGGGGGGGTCATTGCCTTCTCCAGCTACAACAAGCAGGACAACAACTGCCACTTCGACGCCACCCTCGTCTCCTTCATCAACTTCTTCACGTCCGTGCTGGCCACCCTGGTTGTGTTTGCTGTGCTGGGCTTCAAGGCCAACATCATGAACGAGAAATGCGTGGTGGAGTAAGATTTGCTTTTTCTCTCTTTGGGGTGGGCAGGGCTCTGCTGCTGCAGGTTGTGGTGGTGGGTGTGGAGGCAGCAAAGTGCTCTGGAGCTGGGTGATCCTGGTTTTTGGTGGAGCCAGGCTCCTGATGGTCATGGATTTCCAGGGATGTCCCACTGTAGAGGGAGCTGGACGTTCAGCTCCTCCAGCCCAAAATCCAGCCCCAAGATGGGCTCTCAGTCCGCAGGCTGAGCGTGAATCCAGCGTGTCCCAAGCGCCTCGTGTCACCTGAGAGCTTCTGCTCTCCCTTAGGAAYGCCGAGAAGATCTTGGGCTACCTGAACACCAACGTGCTGAGCCACGACCTCATCCCACCCCACGTCAACTTCTCGCACCTCACTGCCAAGGACTACCACGAGATGTACAGGGTGATCATGACGGTGAAGGAGGGCCACTTCAAAGAGCTGGGCCTGGACGCCTGCCTGCTGGAGGACGAGCTCAACAAGGTACCTGGGGGCACTCCAGCAGGTCACCCGCCCCATTGCCTCTCCCTGTGTCAATCCCAATCCCAGGATCTGAGAAATCAACTTTTAGAGTTCTTCAGGGATGGGAATCCACATCCCTGGGCTTTTATCCCACACACAGGAGTTCTCCTGGGGTGGGAGAAGCTCTGTCCTGTACAAGTCCAGCAGGGTCATCACCAGTTGGTCACCAGTACCAGACTGGGATTTCTTTCCTCAAAGAGGGTTTGGTGAGGGAGACATCARGGGCCTGAAGTCTGTGTCCCTGACAAATTTCTTCTCATCTTTTGGTCCTCTTCCCACCTCTGCAGTCGGTGCAAGGGACTGGCCTGGCCTTCATCGCCTTCACGGAAGCCATGACCCACTTCCCAGCCTCACCCTTTTGGTCCGTCATGTTCTTCCTGATGCTGATCAACCTGGGCCTGGGGAGCATGATCGGGACCATGTCRGGCATCACCACGCCCATCATCGACACCTTCAAGGTGCGCAAGGAAATGTTCACAGGTGAGGGCTCTTCTCCTGCAACCTCCTCGGGAAGGGCTGGGGGGGTCCCCGTCACCTTGAGGGGTCACT